CGTCATCTTAGTAGGAATCTAACCCTTGACTTGGTGGCTAGCTTGCCGACTGCAAAGGCGACACAGTCACCAAGGAAACGAAGCTTGCAAAGCGACGAATGCCCTCGCGTGTACGATTACACACGATACACGTTAAGAAAAGGTTCGTGAGGACAGAGACAGATGAGGGGGTGGGTGGACAAAGCATTCGAGCAGGTTTAGAATTTTGACACGATAATGCCAGGAGGCTTTTTCTGTCATTCTTGAATGGCTTTGAGTGGCCACTGGAGGACAACCTTGCCATTACCACAATTGCAGCAGGGGGAATGCAGCAACGCCGTGGAGCACTGTATGGAATGTATTAACGTGCCGCCGGAGGAAACTTTTTTCTGGCTCGTGGGTCAGGTTTGTTTGCTCAGGGAATCACATTCAGGTGGCATTTCTGACTTGAAATAGATTTGTAAAATTGCCACAATGGCTCGATATTGTGACAATTTTGGAGGTCTGTGAGAAAGAGCTTTATAGCTCATCGAATTCCCCCAGATTCTGAGACATTAACCCGAAGAGACGGCTCAACTCTCACTGTCAACAATAGCTTATGAAATATACATACCTCAAGTGAAATGAGTTACAATGTGAAATAATTCAAATTTTAACGGAATCATACATTTGCAGCCAATTTGGTTGCGGGTTATTTTAGCTCATTCCAGCTTAAAATACAATTCTCGGGGATGATGTACAGAATGTCATTTTGACAGCCGCGGGAGGCAAAAACGAAAGTGAGTGTATGAGTGCAGTTGCATTTTTTAGAATGTCATTTTCTGTTTTTAACAGTTGTAAGATAAAATCGTCCATAACTGGTGTTCCAGAATACCCCATAGCCGAGCTGCCCCTGCTGGGATCGGCGGAGTGTGGTTGCCTGCGTGCATTTACGCGCATTGTGTGTACACGCGTGTCTGTGTGTGTTCATGCGCATGTCCGTGGGAGTGTGGATGGGTGCGTGTGTGTGGGCGGGCGGGCTGCCACCCACTCCCCACAAAGGCTTCCACCCACAAGAATGTCGTACGCGCAAGAGGTTGAGGATCTTGCCTGCTGTTTCGCCAAGTGGCATGTAAAGAGCCTCACAAGTGGCTAATGTGCAATTTTACTCCACCGTAATTTGTGAATCGTTAATTAGTGGTATTACTTTTTATCTTATGAAAACAATCAAGTGATAAGTTATTTGCATAAAGAAACGAAGAAGGCAAATTGTGGTTGTGTAAAAAAATTGATTCATTCTGAGGATCATTTTCATTGGCTGTTAATGTATAATAAAAAAGTCATTCATTCTCATCGACAGTACGGTGCTCTTATTAGTTAGTATTTTAACTCACCATAACCTCAACTACGGTGGCATTCGAGGCAACTGTACTTCATCGCAGATGGGACTCAGATCGACAACCCTTTTTAGAGTTAATGATCCTATATTCCGGAGCAAGATGAGCGTTTACGTCTGTGGTTCCCAGAAGACTGGAGGAGGCTGGAGAGGGGGGGGGGTCCATCTATAAATCTGGATTCGATTTACCCCAGACGTGATTAAACAAAAGAATTATTCAAGCAACTGGTAGCACGTGGCAGACAGGGCTGGCGTCGTGTTGCTGTAGGCACCCGTCAAGTTGCGCTGATGTCAAACACCACTTCCAAGAAGTTTCCGCTGGAATGTTCCACAGAGTATTTTTGGCCGTGCATTAACTTTTTCGATTCTTCCTATTTTCAGCATACAACTAAAAAGAACATAGTAGCAGCAGCAGCAGCAGACGCAATTCACCACTAAGTGTTGGATTCTTCATCGCGGCGCCTGTGCCAGGCTAGGTGCACATTGAGACCACGTGAAGTGGTGAAGGTTCGCCGGCAGGAAGGCATGGAACAGGGCCACGCGTTTTGAGTCAACTTTCCGGGGCGACTGCCAGTCGCACCAACTCTCCCACCTCGTCGTGTTTTATCCGCCCGGCGCCCTGCTCGTGGTTGTGAGCTTCGACCCTCCGCCTCAAAACAAACACACAAACACACAGATACACACAAAGATCCCCTGTATAGCCTTAACAAACTCTAGGGCCAAGTGCTGTTAGTGAGCACTTATTAAAGGCAGAAGGGTGTGGTTCGGGCCACATGCCCACGCCTAGCCACTGCCTTGTTGCTGCCTTGCCACCGCCACACGTGGTGCTAATTTAGGCCAAGCTGACTTAGGAGAAGCCGAGGCCAGGATCAGATTCGAGTTTCAGCTCGGGATACGCAACACAGCCAACAGTCACAACTTTAATTACTGAGAGGCTGTCGCACTACGCCGTTGCACCCCTTGTTCTCCACACTCTCTCAACAGACGCGCACAACAGCCGCCGTTCGCCACTAAGTAGCGGTGATTCAACACGGCGCTTGTGCCAGGCTAGGTGCACTGTGAGGCCAAGTGAAGTGTCCATGGCCCGCTGGCAGGCGGTCACGCAGCAGACCCAGATGCCATGCGTTGACGGACATGACTGGCAGTTGCACCAAATGTGCTCCCCAATGTGCCAACTCTTTGCGCTTTACCCAGGATCAGAATATGTATTTGTACTGGAGGAATCCGATTAGCTACCAAGCTCTTTCTCACAGACACCCGCCCGGGGCTCTGCTCGTTGTTGTGCGCGTCGCTCCTCTGCCCTCCATCCTTCACGAACCTCCTCCACAGAGGCCGATCTTGACACTGCTGGCTCCAGTCATCGGCAAGTCCACTCAGCTCCACATCCTTCTGTACCACATCAGTCAATCTGTGCTCTAGCCTGTGTCGTGCCAGTTTAGCCCCCTCGATCCGGCCGAACAGAGGCTGCTTGGGCATGCGGTGGCTGGGCATGTGGGCTACGTGACCCAGCCAATACAACTTTGCTTGACGGAGTAGCTCACTGATGGGACTGTGTTCAGGATCTGTGAGCTCACACAATCCTGTATGATTAAACTCACACACAAGACAAAGATCCCACGTATATCCTTTAACTATTGCGGTCCCCAACCTTTTTGGCACCAGGGACCGGTTTCGTCGAAGACAATTTTTTCATGGACCGTGGCAGGAGGGGAGTCATCATTGGGTCTTTCCCACTCTTCAAAGAAGCTCTCCGGCTACGTTTGTCTTTTTTACTAATTTTGGCTACTAGGGTTAGCAGCTTGTGGGCTTACCAACACTGTGACTGAGACAAGTGCGCATTGCGGGAAAGAGGCGCGGACTCACCGCTCACCTCCTCCTGCTGTGCGGCCCGGTTCCTAACAGGCCACGGACCGGTACCGGGGGTTGGGGACCCCTGCTTTAACAGATTGTTACGGAAAGTGCTGTTAGCGAGCACCTGTGAAGGCTGGCACGGAATGCGAGTGATGTTTACACACCGCAGCAGGTCCCACGTACTCATTTGAGGCCGAGCCGACCTCAGGGAGGCCCAGGACCCGTTCAGATATCGCCACTTGCGTTGGCCGCGAGCTAGAATCGAACTCGGGTTTGCCGGGTTCGTAGCGCATAGCGTTAGCCGCGACATGACCGCTCCAACACACTCGCACGCACACACAGGCACACGCGCGTATACACTCATCCGTATACTGACTCGCCTACACCTGTATTTAATTACACTATGGTGCCTGTGACCATGGCTATCGGTAATGGAAACAACTCAGGAAGAGACCAATTGTGTCAGAATTAAACTACTGTATAATACTACGTAACATACCTTATTTGAAACATGACCTATATACAAGTCTTGAAAGGCACCACCTTCATTGTATAGCGAAACACACCTCTAAAAGAGCTATAATCCTATACCCAACACAATACCTTAATTATAAGATGTATGCTGTGGGAGGTTATGGATTCGATTAATTACTGTAGATATGTGAGAAAAAAACCCTCTGCAGGCCAAAATATTTTACCTATGTTATCATTAACTCCGGGCCAATTTCCCCACCATTTAATTCCCTGGGAGCTGCAATAACACAGGGTGTCCACAAAAGTATAATCTGTTATTAAAGGATTAGAATTAGACAGCAGTTCTGAGCCCGTTTCAAACCAAAGATCTCCCGTGTAGCCTTAACACTTGCCCCTACACACTGTAGGGGCAAGTGCTGTTAGCGAGCACATATGAAGGGGTGGGTGACCAGCACCGTACTAATTTGAGGCTGAGTCGACCTAGGGGAGGCCCAGGACCGGTTCAGATAATCCTCACCGGTGTTGGCCGTGAGTGGGAATCGAACCCGGGTGGCCGGGTTCATAGGACCGTGCGCTACCCGCTACACTACCGCTCCCCACTAAGCCCGGTCCACAAAGCTACACACACACGTGTGTCTGCACTTGGTAGTGTGAAGGTGTTGGCAGGGTGACGAGTCTCGTCCCTCGAAACCTCCAACATCTCCACCACGATGAAGGTGGCGCACGTTGTATCGAGATTTAGAGATGCCCAGGTGTTCACCGAGATCTTGGATGCGATTATTCCGATTGATCCTGTGCTGTTGAAGACCACTCAAGATGTTTTGGCACACATTTCATCCTTCACATAACCCCGACATTCAGCTTGCTCTTCAAACTGCCTGCTAATGTACAATTATTTGAAAGCGGATGCTTTACTTGCGTGGTGGTGGAAAGCGCTCATAATCCGGTGACTTTGAGACAGGGTTGATAGACTACAAATAGATCATTGATGTGCGAGATACTCAACTTGCAGGCCAACAGGCAACCTTAAAAGGCAGTCGGGCAAATAGATCACTGCCATCTCTATGTGTTATCCCTTCTGAGGTGAAGTTTTTCTAGGCATTTTAGTTCTCTATCTCGTGAAAAAATGTAAACAAATTAGGGCCCCACCATCCCAAGCAGAATCCTGATGAAAATGAGCCTTGAGAGTCAAGTTTTCCTGAGCAAAGCAGAGTAAAAAATATATATTTTTAAACGTGTAAGGTCTTGTTAGGATGCGATTAATCCACAAGTACAGAGCCACCAAAAGATTTGCACAACACATTTACAAAAAGCATTGGTGTTAACATGAAAGAATTTTAATTGCCAGAAAAAGAAAAACATCGTTGTAGCGCCAAGCGGATAATACCGAGCAAGCGGAGGGAGGCGGCGTGAGGAGAACGTGGTCCCACGGCGACCATCAGCCACGCTTTTGGAATGGAAGTCGTGAGGCAAAGCCTCCACCTCAGGACGCAAGCCCCGTTCCAGTGTTGCCAGATCCAGAGAATCAAAACCTCGAGGGCCTGTGGTACTCAAAATTGGGTGCATGGTGTGAGGGGGCGGGGGATTCTATAAATCCTGAAGGGGTCATGGTCGGTGACCATGAAGGGGACTGAGAAGAAGAGGCCTCACTCGGGTCAACGTTGTGGACTGCAAATTGTTGGATTTGAGGATCTGTGGCATTTTCAGAGTAGGCCATCATTCGTGTTGCTCTCAAAGCGTTGAGAAAATAATTCTCTCGAATCGCGGCCAACGGATACAAAACCTCCAGATTGTACCAAGAAAATTAGATGGGTGTGGGTCATCTCCATTTCCAAGAGACACTTAGAAAAAAACAATGATTCTCCAATCAACCAAACAAGGCACGTTTGCAAGCATTGTTGCTGGCTGAGGGAGGGGAGGATAAAAATAAACCCTCAATGCTGGAACCTTGAAAACGAAATAGGACTTCTTGCCAATGATAACAGTTTCCTCAATGCAGTATACATCTTACAGTATACTGAGAGAAGTAACCTCCGATCTGGAAACACTGTCCTGGGTATAAAAAAAAAACGGAGGCAGTCAACAAAAACTGTAATAACCAGGCTGGGTCCTGCCACAGCCGTCCTCCATCGCCTCGTGTTGCAAAGCGAACACATCATTCTATATATATACGCGTGTCTTTATTCTCAGTGGGATAAAATATTACCCTTATATGGCATACCGAAGCACCAAAAAGCGAGCGTGTCTACATATTTCCGAGCGGGAAGCTTCACCGCAGCTCTGGCGACGAACGCGCGCAAACCTGCCCGCCATCCGCCGCTAGGGTTTCCAAACACGAGAGATGGTGGTGGTTGTTGTTGTTGCTGCTATTGTTGTTGTTTTTGGATGGAAGCTGCCAGCCACCACCTGTGCGTGCCGCCTGCCACGAGGCACGATTCACAAGTGACAACATGCTTGCGAGCCACGCCGCTGCAGGACATCGTCCGCTCAAGCGAGCCACTGGGATCGTCAACCATCACCTCGATTGCGGTCAGGGGAGCGAGCCGGGGCAGAGATTCACAGGTTGGCAAAACGGTCAAAACTTAGCGCATTACATGATCTATACAGGGGGGGTTATCACCGTCTGAGGTGAAACAAAAGTCATAGGCAAAATATCTCAACAATGATGGAAGAGAACTCCATGGAAGAGAACTCCATGTAAAAGCGTCGTCTCTGCTGTCGTCTATACGACGGAGAACCCGAGAAGATCCACGGCTTCACCAAGGACAGGTTGATTAGCGAAAGACAAAAACGAGAGAGAACCATCCCGGGACCAGTGGCAACCCCGAATCAGGATTTTAAGTTTTCGTGACTGCAAGGATTCATACTCTTTGGTTTTTTCGGTAAAGTCACGTATGTAAAAAATAAAATAAATGAAAAAACAACTAAATTAAATCACTGTGATTTAATTTAGTTGTTTTCTCATTTATTTTATTTTTACCTACGTGACTTTATCGAAAAAACCAAAGAGTATGAACCCCTAATCACATCGCCTGGGGCCGATTTGCGCCTCTCCTGGGGTTGTCAGCGGCCGTGGGGACACGAAGCTGTGTGGGGACTCTCTCTCTCCAAAGATGGATTTATAAAAAAATGAAATTGGACATTAATCATCAACGAGTGAATCTGGCCCACGGCGGAGTCATGGGGGGGGGGGGGGGGGGGTGGACACGGACCGAAGAGGAGTTTGAGGGACTGGAGGAAGACGGCGAAGGACACCACCACGCCACGGCCGTGCCGACGGCGGGGCAGGGTTGAGGGCGGATGGGAGGTTTCCAAGCAAAACAAAGTTCGTAAAAGCGAGCGAGTTCTCGAAACGAGGCACAGAGGTGTTGGTGGTGGCGATTCGTGTTTTGCATCGTTATACGCTGGAGTTAAGCTGGAAAGTGCCAAGCCATACGAGATATTTGTAAGAGCATTTTGACAACAAAGACACCATTCGATCACAGGAATGTGGGCATAGCAACGCCGAAAAATCAAAATGCAACGAACAAAACCGTTTCATTCAGGAACGAATCCAGAAGCAATGTTGTAACACGCGCGCAGACACACCGTGTGTACACTGTAATACGTATACATATCCCCACCCCTCAACTCAAAAGTATATAATAAGCGCATTGTGTTCACATATAACCGTTAAGCAACCTCAAAAACAGAACATGCAGTTGCCACGAGATGCGATGGCACACTGCACGGCAAAGCCCAACACACACACACAGGTAAGAACGTCAACCTAGACCTCCACATGCATGTTACTACATGTAAATAAGGCATCCCCGTTGAACGGGAGAGCGGAGGGACACACCAAATTAAGAACAAACGTGTTGTTGTCACGTTCCATTCCCGCCACCCCGACCCCTCAAAAAATAGAAAGTTTTGCAAATAATATATTTTAGCATTTTAAAAAATCACCAATTACATCCAATTTGTGCCATCGGAGAACAGGTTGCCAGGTGACACAATGTCCCTTTACAGCCCCTACAGCAATGGTCCTGGAATTACACCGCATAAATATTTCTCCCTCGAAACGACCGCCGAGAATGGGTGCCGATCGACGCTCGGTAGCACCGTCGGCTTCTCTGTTGACATTCGGTCGCAAACCTACCAACAGCTGCGACAGCGGAACCCACATCCAACCCCGTCAATTGTCGCGCCGGGCCCATCGGTGTGACCAAATCCAAAGAAACTTACCAAAATCTTACGAAAACCCCCGATTCGTTCAAACCTCAAATGACCACCCCCATATTGTTACCCATAATCTCCAACAGCCATTACTGGGCCAATCTTCCCTGCCCAGCCAAGTTGGAGTCCCCCGCCCACCCCCCCTTCTAGAAAGGCCACCGCAAGGCATTATCTGCGCAAGAACGAGGCGAGGCTGCCTCGCGGCACCTGGCTCGTCTCGACGCGCTGCGTCGTCACGCTCGTCATGCTCTTCACGCTCGTGCCGCTCGCCTGCTGCGCCGTCGACAGGCGGACGGCGGCGACGGCCGCCTCGCCGCCGCCCAAGTGAATTCCGCCGCGGGGCTCGGGCGAACCCACGCCGGCCGAGTAGATGCCGAGACGGAGGATGGCCTCGTTGGGCTCGTTGGGCCCGCCCGACCTGGACTGGCTCGCGGCCGACGCCCTCGCGGTGGTGGCCTGCGAGCGGGTCGCGGAGCCGGCGCGGCTCGACCGGGACGAGGAATTTCCGCCGCCGTCGCCGCCGCCGCCGGGCGTGTTGTGCTTCACCGTGCGGGAGCGCAGTTCGTACTCCGAGATGGTCTCCTCTGTCGAGTCGGCGCCGCGCTCGGCGCCCTCCTGCTGGTGCGTGGACACGACCCTGGGTTTTGGTTTTTGAAGCCGTGCGGCCGTCGGTGCTGGCGGCGCCGGTGCGAGCACGGGGCTACACCGGCTCGAATGCCGGGCCGCTCTGGCCGTCCCCGCCTGGCGCCAGGCACGACGGGAGCTTTCGCTTGCCAGAGTGGCACGGCGCAAACCGGACGGCGCCGTCGCTGAAGGACCAGCGAGGGACGCCTGCACGGCGGCTGTGCGATACTTGTAATTTGACACGGAAAGGACCACACCTCTGAATTGCTGTGGCCGGTATATTGCCGAGTCGCACTGCAACATGGGGGGTGCGAGCTGCTCGTGCATTGCACTCTGAACCCGGTGAGCCGAATTCGATGCCCAGCCATGGTTAATAATGGAGAGAGAGAGGTATCTGAACCGCATTCACCAACCCGCACTGACCAGCCGTGGTGAAGTAGGATCAAAGAGCCCCGTGTCCGATGGGGTAATGAGATTGGGGAAACCGTCATCCAGCAGTAGATCGACAATGGGTGGTAAATAAAAAAAATTGAAACACTACCATCGTCTCATGGACAGACTGACCCCTGTCACGGTGATGTGTCATTTCCACCACTGGCTCAGGGCTGCTGACGTCCCCAGTTCTCGTTTGAGCAATGCACTGGGATTTATAATGTGACAACATTGCACGGTAGATTAGAATCAAATCAGATTGCGACTGTACCTCAAAATGCAGTTCGACAACCAGGGGCGGGGGGGGGGGGCGGGAAATCGTGAGCACCGTGGGAGGTGTCGCGATTCCAAGGAGAACGAGTCTCGTTCCGACTGCACACGGCCGCTAAGCTCACGAGCGTCGTCATCCACCGTGGATCTCTCCACTGCTGGATAAATGCCTCCCGAACACGGGACCATCTCCCCGCGGGGCCATCTAGGAGATGCGTGCGAGTGCAAATCTCTCGCAGGCGATCGCTCCGGTCGTGGGACAGCGCCGAGGCGTGCGGTGCCACCAAGCCCCAGCCGGCTCCCGTGGGCACGCGGGCACGGGGGTGGGGGCAGAGCGGTGGCGCAGCGGTCGGTGCAGGGCACTGCGATACGCGCGCACAACCAGACCGGCAACAGGACAACCCCGGCACGGTGCACCGTAACGAGAGAGCCTGCGGCAAGATCCACAGGCGATTGTTTAATCAAACCCAGGCGGTGCTCGTCTCGGATTCACAGCGACACCAGAAACCGCAGCAAGAGCTGCATTTGAGCAGCATCTGGCCGGTGAACGGTTTAGCCCCGGGGCTGCGAGGGCGGCTGACGGGGGACTTAGCAGGGCCTTGGCAAGGGAGCGGTTAGGGGTGTATTTCGCGGTAATATCGCAAACCCTTTGAAGCCGTTACTGTATAGAACAAGAGTTTGGTGAGCTTAGGTGAAAGCCCAACAAGCTAAAAGTGGGGGACAAGTCCCGACAGAGGGGATGTCTCAGCCCCTAGCTTCAAATTGGCCACATCCTGGTAAAGGGGACTGCGCTCTGTAGGACGTGTGTGTGTGTGTGCGCGCGCGCGCGTGTGTGCGACACTGCTTAGGGTTGGCACATTTCCAGCGTAGCCCACTAACCGTAAACCTCCTGGTGTGTGTGGGTGTGCTTGTTGGTGCATGTGTACACACGTTATATATGCAATGAGAGAGTCACGTTCGTCTCTGTGCAGCGTCTCCACGTGCAGGTGCGTTTTAGACACGACTCTGTAAATCCAAATCTTATTATAAATTGTGTTGGATCGAAAGGCCGGCTTGTGCAATGGGAACATGGAATTTGCACTACGCTAGCTTATTAGGGTCACCATGAATGAATGCCATCATTATTTAATTTTTTTCCTTCCCCAAACATGACTTCTCTCATTCATATATAGAGAGAACAAAAAAAAACGACATTTTTATTTTCCCAATTGCTTTTTTTTTTTTCAAAAAGTGAAGAAACTAAACCACCACTTGAGAAGATGCGAGGGAGGGAGCCGGACGGGGGCAGGCAGTGACAGGAAGTGACATGGAAGGAGGGAAACCGATCAAGGCACAGCCATGGAACGCGGCACCGACGCTCGCGGGACCGGCGTCGCAAAGGCACGAAGCGACGATACACGCAATGAGCCGTTCTGACCAAAAGTTTTACCTCCGAGAGCCACAGACCCCCCCCCCTTCCCCCCTCCCATCAAGTTCCAGCAATCACCCATCAAGCGGTCAGCCCCACGGAAAAAAGAATTACCGTTCAAATGTAACAAAAACGACTTGTTAATATTCCCAGATTATCGATTACGTTCTACACGGACCGTAGAGTTGTGGTTACTCCTGCTGAGCGTCGAGTTCTCCACCTTCACACCTTGTTGAGTTGCAGAGGTGGACTATCGCAAGCCCATCATCCGAGCGCCACAATTCTAGCGATGTCACAGACCTCAAAAACCTTTCTGAACCGGACAGCGAAAACGGAAACCCAAAACAAACCAAACGAGCCCCTACTTCATGGACGTAGCCCAGGCCGCAGCGTTCACGGCTGTCCAATACAAGTTGCAGGCTGCGCTAGACAGAAAAATAAAACACTTTAAATTCGCTTGAACGAGTCACCTTGGGTCGGTGGTGGTCATGGAGACGGTATGCAAATAACATTTTTGTGAGATCCTCAAGAACCAAACGATTTTAGTGACCTCACAATTTTTTACATTTCTTTCACATGAACGAAGCTGCAATCTTGTGTCAGACCGCCCCGCGCACACAAGTACATATTTGTGAAGTAAGCGCCCTTGTTAATTTTGTTTGCGTCGTTCTTTAACCATGTTTGTATTCCAAATTCAACACAGGAGCGACTAAAACTTGGTGGGGCTTGAGCAGGGTGGGCGAATCTTGGATATGGACGGGAGATCGCTTGAGCAGCAAAAGGGGATGCATTCCTTTTTTACATCCAGCTTTTGGCCGAAGCAACTCGACAGGACGATTGTCCAAAATGCTCCTTCTGCCCCCGAGCACCGCTCGCGTGCAGCTAAGACCCGAAGAAGCCTCGGAGATCCGTCAACAAAAGAAACATGCGACATAGCAAGCAGAGAAGAAAACTAAACAGCTGCCGTCTTCATCGGCGAAGGTGGAAAACGAGGAGGACGGGATTTGCAGCCCTTTGCAGAAGCACCCTTGGCCCGCTTACAAAAAAAAGCACTAAGAGGCATGAAGCCTACTACTGTACTACCAACTTTTCATGTTTTTTTTAAAAAAAAGCAAATGTTTCAAACATGCGAGGACACGAATCTTTGGTATCGACTGGAGGAGTCGCGAAGGCCCCAGGGCCTTGTGCTCGCGCGATACGCGAGTGGCGTGCGTGCGTGCGTGAGCGAGCACTACCCGCTCACTCGCACGTACGCACGCCTCTCAGCTGCCCCCCCGCCCCCCGCTTGTGTCGGAGTGAGGAACGATGCCATGATGGAGGAGAAGAGAGATGGCGGTGGGGGGGGAGGGCAGAGCGCGCGGTTCACTTCCTGCGCGATACCTGCTGGTGGAAGAGCACCTCGTTGGCCTCTACCACATCTTCATCTTCGTCGTCGTCTTCCCCAGCTGCGCCCTGCCGGCGCAGAATCTGACGCATCGCGACCTCCTGCTCGGGGCACACGCACGGGCACACGCACGGGCACACGCACGGGCACACGCACGGGCACACGCACGCACGGGCACACGCACGCACGCGCACGCACACAAACACGAATGCACATGTGCATGCATACACATACAAACACACAAACGCACACGTACACACAGTGCTCAGATAAAAAAAAACAGTAGCTTCGACAATAATCCCCAGCATGCATCTCCGCAAGCCGTCGGTGTCTGTGATGGCCGTGTGTTTGTGACGGTTGTGCCTCGGGCTCCTCCAGTCGATTTTTCTGAAGCGGTCGTCCTGTGAATAAACCACTTCCACTGGGGGGAACGTGGAATTTCCACTGCTGGCTCAGGGCAGCTCAAGTGAGCACGTTGACACTGGCATTATTTATATCGATTTATATAATATAAAAAAAACACAACCCCTGATGACCAAATGGTCCCCGTGTCCCCGTGTCTCCGTGTCCCCGTGTCACCACCGGGACGAGGTGAGGCCCGCTAGTGGCGCGTGCTGCTCCCCGCCATTACCTCTCCGTTGGCGTTGAGGACGACGACCCTGACCTCGTCGCCCGAGCCCCAGGTCGTGTGCTGCTTCATCAGCAGATCCCGCGGGGGGTTGTGCTGTACTCCTGCGCCACCCGCCCAGATCTGCCGGTGGCAGAGTGGAGGAGGGGGAGGAAGGAGAGACGGGGGAGTGGGTGGATGAGGAAGAGGAGAAGAGATGATGATGATTATGCAGCAGAGGAGAACCGAGGGAAACGAGCCACGTGACCTCTCCAGATTCACGTGGGTGACATGAGAATCGTCGTCGTTGTGATCCAGATCTCTGCTGACATAGGTTGGTGGATGACAGAGATGCGGGAGATACCAAACTTGCTCAACTAACTCCAAACTTGCTCAACTAACTCTAAACTTGCTCAACTAACTCCTCTTCCCACCTCCCCCCCCCCCCCCCGCTCCAATGATGGTCGTTATTTTTGTATTTTGGATTGGAGAGCAATTTGGGAAATTTGTTTAAAATAAATATTATTATTATGACTAGTCAAGTGTTCCTTGTGAAAGAGTCTTGAGACTTGTGCAGCAAGGCAGTGAGAGATTTGTGCCCCCAGCTTGGGCTGATTGTTGCAAGGAACATGGGAGAGGGGGGGGGCATGGGGGGGTGGGTAGTCACGTGGGCGGCTCACCGTGATGCCGTCACCGGCCTTGACGATTGTGCGGCCCGTGAATTTGTAGACTGATGTCGGCGCGGCCGTGGATCGAGCGCTTCACAGTCCACCCGCCCACCGCCTGGTCCTGCTCCCCATGGGAACGCGAGTGGGAACATGTACACGGGAACACGCGACACGCACGCGTGCGGGCACGGGGCAACACAAAGACGCACGCAGACGAGAGAACACAAATCGCACAGACACACGCACACACGAACAAAACAATTAAAAAGCTGCCGCCTTGAAGTCACTGGGGCAAGAGTCACAAACGGAGTTCAAATCCAAGTTAGAGGCCTACGACCTTTTGGGTCATCAAGATGGGGTGCGACTTTTATGGGAAGCATTCTGTGGTTGTCCTGCACGCAACTCCCAGACCGGTGCCTGCTACGGAGGAATGTGGAATGCTCGGCGCGAACAGAGGCCCCGCCAACCAGGAGGCGAGCAGCAGCGCAAACGCTCGTTTGACCTCGGACTCGACCTGCTCGAAGATTTGGCAAAAAGATACTGGAAGGAATTCCTTACATGTGCCGTGGCGCCTGCCCATAAAAGTGAAATACAATCCCTTCTGTCGAAACCCGAGGCTTTCTTCGACAAGTGGGTGGGTTGCTCATTCTTAGTTGAACACGAAATAGGCTTTCTCGACCAAAATGATCCACAATATCAGGTTTTTTCGTTGAGATCGCGTAAATATAAATGTGTCGTTAAGCCCGCCACCACCCGACACAGCCTATTAGTTAAGCTCGTGACGTAAACAAAACATGCCAATTCGTTACTAGTCCAGCACACCGGTGTGTTGGAGAGTAAACCTACATCGACACTTGGAGTACGACATTTTGATGGGAATTACAACCAACATCACCAGGCGACAGCCAGTTATGTATTAATCCTCTTGTTTCGGTCTTAAATAAGAGGGAACAGAGGGATCATACTCCTCTGCTTTCCCCCAGCCATCTGTGCTGTCGACTCCATGCCTAAGTCCAAGCCCAAGGGCCTCATTTCCTCTGCCTATGACCGGCTTTCCTTTCTCTCTATAGAACACATTTCGCCCGTTATTTTTGCACAGCGTCTTGAGACGCAGACTCAATGAAAAGCTGCATGAATCTACATCATATTCAAGTGCCACGGGAGAAAAAACGGTTGCGCCACTGTCCGGCTCTCCCTATGCGTTTTTGGGTCATGCCACATGCCGTCCTGCACAATGTGCGGGAGCGAAACGTCGGACACCGTGTTGGCACGCGCGACCAAACGTCGGGCACCGTGGCGGGAAAAAAGAGCGGCACGACCCCGAAAACGCATCGCAGGGATTGGGGGTCGCCGTCGTGCGCGGCGCGGCTCTGCCTCCTTGCCTGCTGCGAGTCGTTGATGAGCTTCACGAATCTGCCGCCGGCGTCGATCTCTTCCACGGCGATGACTCCCGACGCGGAGGCGCGCTGCGTCACGCTCACGCTGCTGGTCGCCTCCGACTCCTGCACGTCCAGGCGCTTGCGCTTGGCTGCCGCCGAAGACGACAGCGACAGGCCGCCCGAGATGGAGCCCGAGGCGGCCGCAGCGGCGGCACCGCCGCGAACCACGGCCACGCGGGAGGACGCGACCGACGAGCGCGACGACGCGACTCCGCCGCTGGCGCTGCCGCCGGCGACGCCGCCGCTGCCGGCGGCCGCAGAGCCGGCGCCGGATGAGGAGCCGGAGACGGCGCCGCTGCCGCCCGAGGTGCGCACGGTCTCGGAGGAGCGAGTGACCGTCACGCGGGACGAGGGGCTCGGGGAGAGGTGCAGCCTGCGGGCGGGCGGGGGGAGGGGGGTGACGTGAGCGTCCGTCGGCATCCGTCATCGTCGTCAGTTGCCGTGAGCTATCCGCGACCGGGTGAACGGTTCACCAGGACGATGCAGTCCCTGGCGGTTTCCTCGTTTGGCCGCTACTCCATCATTAGTTTTGACCACGAGCGATCGTCCACACTAGCGACACGACGTGCACTGCCCAAGCCAATTTTTCCAAGCAATAAATGGATATGTACACGTGTGTATGCATGTGTGTGTGTGCGAGTGCATGTCTATGCACGTTCTGCGCATCCGTGCGTGATTACAAATCAGCGCTTATGTGTGAGTGTAGGCACACGCGTGTTCGTTCAAACATACTGACAGTCATTGGGAACGATGATGCTGATGACAGTGATGATGCCGAGGACGGCCACGATGATGACGATGATGAAAACGATGATGGCCAAGATGACGACGATCCCAATGACAATGCCGGTGGGCGACAACCACTCACCTCTCCTCCTCGCCCTCGAGCAGCTTGCGGTAGGCGGAGATCTCCATGTCGAGCGCCAGCTTCACCTCGAGCAGATGCTCGTACTCGTTGATCTGCGCCGTCATCGCCTGCCGGATCTCGGTGAGCTCGCGGTCCTTGTCGGCGAGCTGGCGCCAGTGCGAGTCGCGCTCGCGCCGCAGCGTCTCCTCCAGGTCGCGGATCTGCGCCTCCGCCCCTGCCACCTACGTGCGGGGCGCCGCCACGAAACGACAACACGTGACCGTTATGACGACGGTGACGACGATGTACGTTCGCACCGTACGTAGCCAACCGTGCTAATCGGGAGGTGCGGGGAAGGGATGAGAAACCTAACACAACGAGCAGTTCTTAAGAAATTAGTTTGTCAATCTCGATCATTTAAAAGTGAAAAGCTTCCAGTGGCTTCCTCAGATCGGAAGGTGGAGCGTTCCAGACGGTCGCAGAAGCGCATCTCAAAGCACGCGATGTGGTCACCATCTCTGTTCAATGGTTAGTCACAAGCTGCTGCGAGGTGGATCCGAGCTTGCGTGATGGTTCATCATGCCACCGAACACGATTGATGACGGTGGGGTGATGGTGAACATGACAATTGTGACAATGTTACTGATTATCACGACGATGATGACGATTGATGACGATGATCACGATCATGACGACATCAACGACGACGGTGAGGATTACGATGATGACCACGTCGATGGCGACCATGGCGTGCGAGTGGGGGGCTAGCGGGAGTGTGAGGGGGTGGAGGGGGGGGGTCCCACCTGGCGCTGCAGGGCGCCCAGCTGGTTGTTGAGCGTCTCGATGCGCATGCGAGACTCGGTGAGCTCCTCCTGCACGACGCCCGACATCGTCGAGTTCTGCTGCAGCGACATCTTCGCGTTCTCCATCTGATCCGGCGTGCATGGCCAGCAGCATCATCAGCATCATCAGCATCAGCACCACCACCACACACACGTTTCGCGAATCCCGCACATTGTACGATCGAGAACACTGAGACACAGGAAGGTGGAGATCACAGCGACTCGAACACCCTCATCAGCAGCCATGGTCTACCCACTGCTAGATGAAGGCCTTCATCTAGCAGGCCACAGAGGCACCAGCAGAAGTTGATTCGGCCTCACGCGAGGCCGCCGAGTGGGTTTCAATTGTGGACACGGACCTCTAAGTCGCGACACACCGGGCCATACGCTCGCACGAAGAAGTAGCAGCAGCAGAAGCGAGAAGGAGCAATACAAAACATTCTTGCTCTGCGTCCCTCGGCCTCACCTTGGTCTTGTAGTTGTTCTCGAGCTCCCGCTTGTAGAGCTGCACCTGGTCCGTGTGCTCGGCCCGCAGGTCCTGCAGGGCCTGCGCCAGCTTGTTCTCGTACTCCTGCTGATGCCCGGCGTCGATCTCCACCAGCCGGGACTCGTGCCGCTTGCGCGTCTCCTTCACCTCCTGCGGCGGACACGGGATGGGGGGCGGGGGGTCGTAACATTTAAAAATGAAGTTTAAAGGTGCAGCCCTGCAAATGCCTGCTGCTCACCCCGCCGCCGGAGAAAAAGCACCGCCACTCGAGTGAACTCTGTGGGGTTTTTGGTCTCCTCTTCCGCGCCGATCGGGCGGGTCGGAAGGTGCCGATCATGGACTGCGGTGGTGAACGTTACGGCGGTGAACGCCGCGGCGGCAAACGCTTCCCGCACTGCGGGTTGGTGAACGTTGCCGTGGTGGTGAACGCGTTCACGCCGCGTGGGTGGATGGGCAGACGTCGCCGGGACGTACGGGGGGGGGGGGGGGGGGGATTTTAGAAACCTGCAGCGTTGTTTCAACTGCCGGGCAGGGAGATGGAATGGAACCGCCCATCTCTGGTTCCAGTGTGCTGACCAATACACCACTAAGACAGGGGGGGGGAGCGGGTGCGGGTGCATGGGGGGGGGGGGTGCATGGGGGGGGGGGGGTGCATGGGGGGGTGCATGGGGGGGGGGGAGCTCACGTTTTCGAACATCGACCGACGGAACTCGAGCTCTTCCTTGAGGCTCTGGGCGGCGTTCTCGGCGGTGACTCGGGCCAGCGTCTCCTCCTCCAGCTGCTTCTTCAGGTTCAGCAGGTTCCCCTCCAGCTGCCCGGTCACACGCAGCGCGCACACAAACACAAGCGCATTAGCGTTCGCACAAAGGCAAAGGTCGCCTTGTAGCCTTGTACTAGAACTTCTTTCGCACCGTACGTAGCCAACCGTGCTAACCAACAGCCTCAATAGACTGTTGGGGCAAGTGCTGTTCGCGAGTGGCGCCTATGAAGGCCGGCACGGCACACGAGGGGATGGGTAGCCATCACCATGCCAGGCTGCCTTGAAATGGTAGCCATTTAAGGACGAGTCGACCTAGGGGAGGCCCATGACTACTGTGGTTGACTGTGTGCTAGGAAGTGAACTTGGGTCCCCTGGTTTGTAGCGCAGTGCGCCAAATGCTGCGTCACCTCTCCCGACCATGTATGTACACACACAGCAGGTTTCTCTCCCGATGCAAACTGCACGCAAGCACGCACGCGCACGCCACTGCTTCCAACTGACAATTACATTGATAAACTTAAAAATAATCACAAGCTCCATATTATAACACGTGTGTGTTGGTAAATAATTTAACCAGTTTTAACCAGTCCTGAAGACTTTGCTGTTTTTTCCTGGATGTTTCTGTTTGCGCGTCGTCACTTTAAGATGTTTTCTTGTTCACGTTTTTGTTCGTTGCGGTTGCACCCCGATTCAAGAGCCGAATGGCTCACATGGCTATACCTAATAAATGAAAAAAAAACTGAAACTGCATGTCTCGATTATTATAGTGATCAGTTTGTTTGGATAAACGCATTTTATGAAAATGAAAATCAGCTGAGAGTGGAGCAGTGGTGCAGCGGTTAGCGCACTGTGCTAAGAACCCCGGTGACCTCGGTTCGAGTCGTGCCAGCGGCGAACGCCAGTGCCGAGGAGCGATATCGGATCCGATGCACCCTCGGCAACGACCCCATTCACATCCCCCCCCCTCCCATCGCTAGCCGCCTACGGGCAGAGACAAGTTTCCTACCGCATGAGATCATATCTTCCGATTTGACCACTTTATTTTTCTTTTGCGTACATTTTATGCATAGTTGTTGTTGAATCGTTTCCCGTGTTGGAGTTTTATGCGGGTTTGAGTTCATCGCCGCGCATTTCAAGGTCCGTTATCATTTCTACGCCAGGTCTGAATCTCGCATCCTTTGTCTCCATGGGCTCGCACTCGCTCAGAGAGACTTTGCCGTGGGCGACGATCCGGCTGCAGCGTGCGGTACCGCGCGGCGAGGGAGGAAAGCGTCGGCAGCCACCGCCCTGCGGCTCGCGCGCACAGATTCTCAGGGCGTGCCGAGACTGCCAGCTCCCGCTCTCATCCGGCCTTTGCTCAAACCTGCCCAGCCAGCCATCCCACCCTCCCACCCAGGCCTCCCACTATCCCCCACACAGCTCCCTGGAACCCCCCAACGTGAGTCACAGGCAAGATTAAACATGTCTTTCCTTTTTTTACGTGATTCAGAAGAATAACATTTTTTTTCAGGTGCGGTCTTTTCTGGGCTCCACTTGCGCAAAACGTTGCGCTTTAGGTTTCGACTTTGCAGAGATCGGGCCGTTATTACACACTCGAACAGACGTCTGATAACCCTGGTGAGGCCCAGCCCCGGTGAGGCCCAACCCCGGTGAGGCCCAACCCTGGTGAGGCCCAGCCCTGGCGAGGCCCAGCCCTGGTGTCGCTGCAGTGAGCAGCGACGTCAAATTCACTCCTTGTACAAGCACCGTTGTCGACACAAAGGGGCCTTTCATTCATCCCCTCTGCTCTCATAACTACTGCCACCCCCCGCCCCCGCTCTGACGCCTGCCCACTCTCAGTGGCATCTACTCTCGTGATTTATTTTTGGTTCAATCGCTCGTAAAGAAATAAAGTAATGCTGCAAAAATGCAACGTAAAATGACTCCCCGCATGGCCGGATGGAAATGCCCGAGCTTCACTGAAATTGTGGGAGACGATGCGGTGATCGTGCGGAATAGTGGGGCGAGGTTTGAAGGATGGTGTTTTAAAGAATTGGACCGAAACTTTCAAAAGGTTGAAGGCTACAGTGAATGTGATTCACAGGTTATTGGGATTTAAAGAATTGCCGTGTGTGGATGTTAAAGAGGTTGTTCACGCGGTTATCCAAAGCATGACTATCGAGACTAAATATAAATATGCATGTAATGTGCAGAATACGATGTTGAAAAAGTAAATTTTGTAACGAAGATAATTTTAGGACACTAATAGCAGAAAGATGATATTAAACAAACGTGAATATAGATTATAAAGTTCTAAGATGTTAACAGTGTACAAGAAAGTTTATTGGACGACAAAGTAGTTCCATAAATTTGTCGAATTGCCCGAGATGTTTCAAACGTTTAAAATCGCGTCTGTTCTGGCTGCCTACTCCAATTAGAAACCGTCACCACGAGTCAACCGGACGTTTCCTTTTTGAAACCGCAAAGTATTTATGGGACGGGCTTTAATTGAAGTGAAACCAAGGATGTACGAGTCCCCGCTACAACGGCAGCAGTGGCAGCAGCAGCGGCAGCAGCAGCTGTGGTAGCAGCAGCAGCAAACGGTCGCACAAACCCAACGTTTACACCGATGGGCACTCTGCGGTTTAATCTGCTCGGGTGATGAGATCACGTTTCCAACTGTACCGTGACCTCTGCCAAAAACATGTGCCCCAACCGGCCGAAAAAAAAATGTAACCGCTCCACTTCACGGTCGTTATCTTTTCATGAGGTCATTCGCATTTCTGAGCTGCAGCAGCAGCAGCAAAGTGATCGCGACGGGAATAATTACATACTAGTGACACACACCACACCGTATTCGCTCGCTCTCCGAGAGAGAGAGAGAGATGCACACAGAGAGAGATGCACTGAGAGAGAGAGAGACGCACACAGAGAGAGAGACGCACACAGAGAGAGAGAGACGCACACAGAGAGAGAGAGACGCACACAGAGAGAGAGAGACGCACACAGAGAGAGAGACGCACACAGAGAGGACGACTTTCCGAGGTGCAGGGAGGAACCGCGGGCAAGCAGGGAATGCGGTAGCAGCAGCCACACGGTGAGCCGCTGCCAAATTCTCCCCCCCCCCCCACAAAGCTCTGCATCCTCTAGGTAATTTTTTGTGTGTTTTGTTGTCTTTTTATTTTTTGCGTTTAGTTCGTCGTTCTTCCCACGCACCTCCGCTTAGCGTGGTCGACTACGTATGGCGCGAAAGAAGTTCAACGTAAGTACGTACACTAGCACGTACGTACAAAAGGTGCGATAGATGGTAGTCGTTGCCTTCACGTGGCCGGCCGCGAGCACAGGAATGTGGAATTATACAGCAGCAGGGGCTGGCGGCTGTAAACGCTCGCTCGAATGGGAAGCCACTTCGCACCCCACATGGCCCGGTGAAAGTCCACCGCTGCAACAAGCGCTCGCCAGAGATGCCTCCAAGCGATGGGGCGTTCTTGAAACGTCTCGTCATTAGTCTCTTTTTGCAAAGGAGACATTTGGAGAAGAGACTTCACCACTTAAAAATACCAACTTATTCCACTTCAATTATTTTCTTGCCGTGTTTGGGGTGGCGCGGTGGTGCAGTGGTTAGCGCACCACACTCTGAACTCGGCAATGGGAGTTTCATTCCCGGACCACGGCTGATATCGGTGGTGGACCCTGGACAGCCCAGCTTCACCAAGGCCAGCCTGACCCATCGCCGGCGCAGTGTGGGGGAGGTCTTGAAGAAGGCCGCGGGTTCACGACGGGCTGTAAAAGGAACTTGTCGATGCAATTGTATTTTCTGTGGCTCAGTTTTTTTGTTTGTTTCCGTAGGCGATTACTTTAGCAAGCGATGAGAACAACCCCCCATTCTCCTCCTCGTCACCGACCGCAGGTCTCCCTTTGCTGAGACAGGCCCGTCTCGCTGTGCTCTCTCTCGCTTCTAAAGGTCAATGGACATCCGCGTAAAACACCCAGAGTGGAATGTTCCCCCCGATTGGTCGTTTGAAGTTTGCATTAATCAACGTGAAACATCGCTCGACGTTTTTTGCGCAACATCAGCCACCGTTCTCACCTGGTTTAGGGGCGGCCACCACAGCATGGCGTGTCCACTACTCACCACTCACTCACCCCCTGCCAGGACCACCGCTCACCACTCACCCCACCAGATCGACGGTTTTCCTCGCACACACCGCCAGTGCTACCACTTATCACCAACACACTCACACCGCCCGCACCGCCCGCACCGCCCGCATCGCCCGCACCGCCCGCACCGCCCGCCCCTTAGCTCACCGAGGACAGGCTGGCCTTGAGCGAGCGCAGCTCGTCCTCCAGGATGCGCTGCTGTGCCAGTGCGGTGCCCAGCGCGTGACTTTTGCTGCCCAGCTGTGCCTCCAGGTCTTTGTTGCGCCCTAGAGCTGCGGCCAGGTCCCGCTCCTTCTGCGCCATCCTGGGGTGGACACGGGAGACACGCGGGGGGACACGCGGCGTGGTCACCGACGGCGCCGTCACGACTACGGCAAGCATCACCCTCGATGCCAACCACAATACCGCCCCGCGCCGCCATTAACTGGACACCGTCATCACCATATCAACACCGTCGCCGGCAAAAACCACTGCCGATGTCACCGGCACTGCCAAACTACTGCCACCGCCATCACCCCTATTATCAATTCTAGCACCACAACCATCGCCACCATCGCTACACAAACTATAACAACGATGCTGCATTCATCGCCACACTGCCATCAATACCAGCGGCAACTACCATCCACCACTGCACCAACAATACCATCACTCTCACCGCTACCGCCACCACCGTTGCCAGAAAAATTTGCACCACTGCTTATCACCACCTGCATCGCCGCCTCTACGACCGACACAACCATTGCCACCAATGATTAATGTGTAACGATGTGACGTTTCCTAGCGAGTAACTATTGAACGTTACACATTCAGCGTTTTCTGTGTTATTCAGAAGGCAGGAGAGTAAAAAACTCTAAACTGAATGTGAAAAAATTTACTCGGCAAAGTGGAAGTGAGAGAGATGTCTGAGATGTTTGCAAAGTTCATGGAATCAAGACGATAGTATTTGTGAAGTTTACGGCATACAAAAGACGACGCTTGAAGCAAGCGTTCAGTGTGTGGAACGAGCGCCAAATGGCGGTGGTGGCGGCCTTCATCCAGCAGTGGAATGACCATGACCGATGACGATGATAAAGCAGAATTTATATTTTGCTTAGGCTCAGCAGCCTGTTGCCCATTGTCAGGCGCATTTATTGCGGAAAACTCAGGAAATAGAAAGTCCCTTGGAAAAATATAACAGCAATCATTTACAGGCCTTTGTCAATCCACTGTTTGGATGAAGGCCTTGCCCATGCTCTATCAGTCACGCAAATTGTTTAACCAAACTTCACCAAGCTCATCAGGACGGGTTTGTTGAAGGAAGGCGGAGCCCAGGACCAGTTCAGAGATCACCCTCCACGGATGTTAGCCATGGCTGCGAATCGAAACCGAGGTTGCTGGGGCCGACAGCGCACGGCACCCCGACCGCTGTGCTGCTGCTTTCACCTCGAAGGCCTGTACACGTTGCCTCGAGCAACACGGACACTTAGGGTGGCGTCCTGGACTCAACTGCGCCACGATTTCTGTTGAACGAGGTCATAGCCTGTGGGGCCGAAGGTTAGAGTCTCACTTTGCAAGAGTGACCCTGGGTGGGAAAGAAAGGGAAGTGTGTGCGGGCCGCTCCACACTCGCCATCGCGGTGAGCTTAGGTGATGGCGATGACGAGAGGGGGGGGGGGGGCTGGTTAATTAAATAAGTAACCCCAAACGAGCTTGCCTCAGCCATGGATGGAATGCTCCAGAACTTTGTGATGCACCCAACCCACTTAACACCCACCAACCCACATCCACGGCAGCTACACATCCGCCTGCAGTGTGAGCTCACACAAGGGCGCGCGTTTACACAGCGCTTACAAAGCGGCACATTCAAATTAAACGAAATGTATTACTGCAAAGGACGCAGGAGAATTCCTCTGCTCAGACAAGCATGGGGGGGGGGGGGGGAGGTGGGGAGGGGGGTGGACGCTCGTCTAGTTAGTGACCCCAAGCCGGCGGTGGAATTTCGACACCCTTTCCAAACAATAATTACGTTGACTCGAGGAGGAATTCACCCACTCCCCCGCTGCGTAATAATTATACGCGTGGAGGAGCGGTGGCACGGCGGTCAGCACACCCCACGAGGTATCCGGCGACCCGAATTCGATTCCCGCTCACGGCTAACGTCGGTGACGGGAGTTATGCCAGAAACGGTCCAAGGACTCCCCTCGCCTTCATTAAAAACGAACGGCACGGACCAGCATGGTGAAGTATGGTCGCACAAACCCCACGGCCGACAAGGACAGGGGAGGCCTTCGTCCGGGGTAGGATTGCCTCAAGGGCCGTACGACGATTGCGCACGGCCTTCCCGTAATATCGGCAGTGCGGGCGCCCTGAATATGTCAGAAGGGGTAGAGACTGCGTGAGTGGTGGTGGTCCCAATTTGATAAATGATCACAAGGGACAGTAAGTGGGGAGCCCCCTTCTGGCCGACTAATGCCCGCTCATCGCAGGACACCGCGTTCACAACGTGCCACACGAGGACGGCTGCCGCTGGGCGCCTCCGGGTATCCCACGTGCGGGAGGCGCGGTGCGGACATTAAACGGCGGCGATCGCGAGGCGTGGCGGGTTGACCGAGGGCATCGCCACTCGACCGGTTTCATGCCCAACTGTTGCCACCAACAAAATCCTCAGCAGCTGCCTCCGAGCGGCTGGGGGTTGGAAGGTCGGGTCCCCTGGGTGGGCCGGGAACCCGCGGTGGAGAAGGGGAGGAGGAGATGTGAGGAAGAGGTGGGAAGCAGGAGGAGATGCCTGGTGGAGGAAGAGCGGCATTGAGCGTTGGGGCGTGGGGCGTGTCCGCAGGCCCATGGCGCTCCCCATAACGAGGGCCCCGCCTCGTTACGGCGGCGACCGTGAGAGCGCCGGGATACGCCGCCCGTGCAAAATTGTTGGCAGGTTTGGGGCCTCCTGTGGTGCTCCTCGCCCTTGCCATGAGCGAGTGCCCGGCTGAGCGGCAGGGGGGGGGCCTTCCCACTCTCTCGTTGATTTTGTATATTGTCCCGCCTCTCCTCCAACTGCACGGAGGCAGTCGCCATGGTTTTTGTTTTGTAAACGACAAACTCGCTCAGCCGCTAAGTCACTGGCCACACGAGTCACTTTTTTTTGTTGCAAAAGGCTAAACAGAAGACTTCATCTGGGTCTGAGTCAGGGTCTCGTAGGCGTGGGGCCACAATGGAGCGACTGATTCCAAGCCGGAACCCCCTGGGGACACCGCTCCTGGCCCTAGCGAACACCAGCCAACCTCTACCCGCCCCACCCCCGTACCCCCACTACGAGCACGAGCGAGCGAGCGACAGTTTTAGGACATTGCGGCAAGGGGTTAAAAATACAAGGTGTGCAAACCGGGCCCTGACACCCCTCCCCCATCCCCTCCTAGCCCCCCTTATGCCCCCCACCCTCTCCCTCTCCAACCAGCCCCCACCCCACCACCCTCCAGCAGCCCACGCCTTGCTCGGTCAGCTGACCAGGCCAACCATTAACACAGCCTGTGTGGTCGCCCCCTGCATTCCAAGGCCATGATCGGGTCTCTCTTTATTTAACCAGGCGGCTGTGCGATTGGTTCACTCGCAAGGTTAAATAAAGGATGCCGAGATGGGCTTGGGTTGTCTGTGTCCGAGAGTCAGCACGGTGCGACGCCTGGCAAATCGCCACGAATGAGATTCCCCCCACCAAGAAGGAACGATTGCAACTAAACTTCACTATTTTCATTTTATCTTTTCAGAAGCGACCTGGCTATCACAAACGATAAGTGGCTTATCAAGTAGAAATGTATAGCAGCCAAATGCTCTAAAACGCAAGATGTTTCTAAATATGGGGGGAAAAACCCAGAGGGTACGGAGAAGAATTCACGCGACCACTGGGAGAGAGACACATGCAAACTCTAAATATACAGCAGCAGCAGGCGTCAGAGTTGGGATGGAGCCCACGACCTCCTGCGTACCAGGCGAGGGAGTTAATATCTACCTATTTAAACCACCCTCGTCTCTCCGAGCAGTCGGCTATCATCAAATCAAACTCCACCAAACGAAGCGGGATGGCGGCCGAGGCGGCCGAGACGCCTGACTGGGAGGCGGCCAACGGAGGGGACTCGCCCGAGATGTCGCGATGAGGCCGGCTCGTGTGCAAGAGCCGCACTAAACGGTGCCCCGCAAGACTATGAGATATGGCGATGGCTTGGGGCGGTCTTCATCTAGCGGCGGATAGATCATGTCTGCTGCTGATGATGATGAATGGGGCCGGTGATCCGCGTCTCGGTGTGCACGCAGCGACGCGTAACGATGAGGCGTCGCGTCCTCCCCCCCGCTGGTTTAACGCTGCCTTTGGCCCAGGGCCTCCCTCGAGAGGGGATGGGGCGGTGAGGAGGAGGGGGAAGCCGCGAGGGCAACGTGGCACCGCACGCTGCCACGCCGCAGAGGAGCGTCTCAATGACTGACGGGCGGGGGTCGGGAGGTTGGGGTTCGATGGGCCGGGGTGGTGGGGAGGGACACACGAAACGTGGGTCTGACCTCGTCTCACACACCCCCCCCACCACCCCACAGCAAATCGTCACTGTACAGTGGATAGCCGGGGTGGATTTGTACAGACGTTTGTTGAACTTCTTTCGCACCGTACGTAGCCAACCGTGCTAAATCGGAGGTGCGTGGTGGGTGGCCACGCATCGCCAAGGAGTAAGACAGCACCCGGCGCGGGGCGTGCCGGGCGTCGATCGCTCGCACAGCGACGCCTTCCCCCCACCGCCCAGCCCGTCGTTGGGTTTTTGCAGGAATTGATCGTTAAACGCCGCTCGGTAATGAAAATGACGATGGTTAAAGTGGGCGAGCTCAGCTTGAACGCGATTATTAACAGTGAAAATGTGTAAATGATGATGGAGGAGGGATGATGACGGAGGAGGAGGAGGAGGAGAAGGCGGCAGCTTCATCTCGAAAACCAAAAAAATAAACTTTGAACAAAATAAACAGCTGTTACAAAAGCTGGGGGGGGGGGGTGGGCGATGAGGGGGGGGGGAATATAAAAGCGCGATTGTAACGGGAGCGTGCGCCACGTCTCCTGTCAATCCGGCGTGCGGGACAGCTGCGACTCTGATCCGACGACCGTACACACGGCTCGCGGCAAGGCGCGGCTGTCAAGAGCGCAGGCGGTGCAGCTGCACCGGGGGGCCCACGGGCCGGGCCGCCGAGAAGGGCCCCCCCCCCCACCAGACCACCCCCCGGATCCCCGCCCCCCCCCCCCCCCGCCCCACCATTGCATTCCTTGCACCGAGGCCCCATGCCAACCACGCTGCGCCACTGTACACTGCAGAGCCGACCGTGCCATTGGTACAGTCGGCTCGCGTGTTTCTGTGTGGACTCGTAATTAACAGCCACGCGGCACGCTGGCGTGAATAATTAATATTACTGGGTGACGATTCCATTCGGGAATTTCTGTTGTTTTTGCTGTTGTAAGTAGCGTGGTGCGTAACTCTACAGAGTCTGTGGACCTGTCTGGGTGTGTAGCAATCGAGCGATAGAGTGGCAGGGAGAAATATAATCTACAGTGGGGTAAATAAATATCTGCAGAATCTAAAGTTGGTATTCAATCTAAAGACTCTAATTCTTGACACTCACAGAATCGTATCACGAGCATCCAGATCGATTTTAATTGGATCATTATATCCATAACCATCCATGATCACCATTGTTAGTATTCGTATTACTAGGAAATGCAGTCCTTGAATAACTTTGCTGCCACTCTTTCCGCTGATCCTTTAAAAGCCATGCCCTGCCCGGAACTCGACACGTGCTTGTCTCAACACGATGCGCGCGCCACGACGCGACACAACACGTGTGCTCTCTGGGAGGTGCGGCTACGTGGTGGCCAGTACTCGGAGAAGGGGGAGACGGCCTAACAACTGAGAAACAGGCGGACAAAAACTGGGCCGTCGTGACAACGAGCCAAAAGTCGCTCCGTCGCACAGCGCCTCCGGTCGGGGAAGGGAGAACCGACGGTGTAATTAGAGCGGAAAAAGTGCAAAACAAACCTGGACGTCCCTAGAGTAAAAAAGATAATATGCCTAAATCACAAGAGAGTTCCACCGGGATTTAATTATACGCAGCAGACTGCTACACAATCCTCACCACGCGTGGTAGCTGGAATCACACCCTAAAATCACCGCAATGCCCTCGGGCCACCAAGTCGCTACGTTCTGTCGCTCCGACAAAATTCCGGCGCGCCGGAGAAACCCAAAAATGCACTCAAATCGATCGACAATAATCGTTAGATTGGCAACACCGTGAAAGGGCTCTCGACGTAGGCAGAAGTAGAGGGGGGGGCCAGGTGAATGGCGGGGAGGGGGTGCCAGGGGACGGGGGGGGGGGGGGCGCGGGACGCCCACCGGCTGTAGAGCTCGTTGAAGTCTGCACGGAGCTTCCCGCTCTCGATCTCGATGCGCGCCTTCTCGTGCGCCACATTGTCGAGGCAGCGGCGCGCGTCTGCGAGCTCCCGCTCGAACGACGCCTTGATGCCGGTCACCTCGCTCGTCACCACCTCCTCGCTCTCGGACACGCGCATCCGCAGCATCGAGTTCTCCGCCTCCAGCGAGCGCATCTGTGGGGGGCGAGCGCACGGACACGCACGCACGGTTATGCACAAGCCGGGTAGAAACGCACGGCGACGGCCGCTGTTCGCCACCGTGTGGCGGTGACTTTGCCACAGCGCTCGTGCCAGGCTAGGTGCAATCTGAGGCCGTCATGTGACGTGTGTAAGGCTCGATGGCAGACCCAGGTGGCTGTGGGCTACATGAGCGAGATGACTGGTAGAAGGCGCGCACACACACACGTGTGCACAGGTGGACAGAGTCACGTAAACACACGATGTCATCTTTGGACAAACTGTGAACCCAGGTGTGCCTCGACATCTTCCAGCAGTGGGACATCTTGCAACGACCTCGGTCCAGCCCGCGTCCTGTGCCGTATTACGATTCCTTTGGGATACTTGGCCAGTTTGAATCTGTCCAATCTGGCTGTCGCCATGGGATAGAGGATTGGCTGGCGAGGCAGGGAAGGAGGGGCGCAGGTGGGGGGGGGGGGGGGGACTGTGTGAATGATGTTGGACCGACGTTCCATGCCACAGATCCATCATTAGTCTCAACAACATTGTCGCAACTTTACTCTTCATCCAGCGCTGGATTCATCACGGCTGATGACGGTGATGACGACGGTGAGGATGAGGATGATGATGGTGACGACACAGGATAACGAGCAGCTGTAGCCAACGCGAGCTCGCACAACAGAGGCGACACCTGCTCAACGTGTGCGTCGCCATCTTTGTGTCAACCGACGGGCGAGACGTGCGTGTTTGTATTTCAATGCGCTGGGTAATCGCCCCCAGGCTGAGAGTCCCTCCCCGCTCCCCCGTCCAGAGATCTCCTGTAGAAGGGACTCGCGGAGAGAGACTCGCGAAGGTGCGGCGGCCAAAGGTGAGAGAAATCTTGCCCGATGCGGAGATGGAGCGATGAAATTGGCTCGCGTGATGACGATGGATTGTTAAAGTCGTGAGACCCTGGAAGGAGGAAGCGGCAGCTTGGGGAGGCATTCAGCCAGCAGTGGATAGATCATGGATGATGATGTATTTTACTGAAGGTTTAAATTTAGCATGGGTCGCGATATCATCTGACAGGATCACATATCCGAGTGTTTTTCACAACAAAACCGGCGGTCTCACTTTAAACACGGGCTTGTAGAGACCGCTGGGAGCCAACTTTGACTTCCTATCCACCCGTCGAAATCCTCGTCCTCCTTTTCCCACGACAAACTTCTCTCTCTCAGCCGCATCTCTACCGAGAGAGAGAGAAGTTTGGTTTCCTCCACAGGGAGGAGGTTGCGGATGCTGCCAGGTGGTGGGGTGTTGAGTGAGGGGGGAGGGGGGGGGCGTTTGGGTGGCTGTCAATCACCAAGCACCAACAGAAGCAACACCTTCAGCTTCCCACAGCCCTGATAACGTCCGAACCCTCCCACGCGTTCCCCCGATCCAGACCCGCGATCCTATCGACTGCATTTCATTCATTCTGTACCATGCCGTAATCCCCCCTCGCTCCCACCTTGTCTGGAGGCTCTGCCGGCCGCTTGAACCCCACCCAAGATGGCGTAGGAGGGAGGCTATGCGCACAGCTGGTGAATCACGACTAACAACCTCTAGACGAGCCCTCTTAGAGACGACCCCTCTATAGATGACCCCTCTAGAGATGACCCCTCCAGACTCATGCTGCAAACGTCACAAAAAGCACCGACCCCTCGGCCCCTCCGTCATCCGCCGGTGGTCGCAGATTTAAAGTTCATCTCTCGCGTCCCAGCTGTGAAATATCACGGCCGTGCGATGGCAGAGCGAGCAGCAAAGAGGGAAACATCACACACACACAGAGAATTAAGGGAAGGAGAGGAAGACTGAAGATGAAACGGCCTGGCCACAAATGCTAGCTCGCCAAAGTGGCTTATTGTGTGGACATGTATAGCCGCCAAATAATCTAAATGCGCGTTTCTAAAAGTGGAGGGGAAAAAATGGAGGATCCGGAAAAAAAATCCATGCGACCACGGGGAGAGACATGGAGACTCAAAATAAACAGGCGTCAGGGTCGGGACCAAACCCACGACCTGTACATCAGGCGAGGGAGTTAACATCTCCTAGCCACCGCGGCGCCGTTGACAGAGAAAGGTAACATCGCACGATGTTATCCTTCTCAAGATGTGCGCGTGTTTGTTGAACTGCTTTCGCACCGCATGTAGCGAACCGTGATAATCGGAGATGAGAGGGAAGGACAAAACAGGCGGTGACTGTGCCTGGCGAGGGAGGGAGGGTGGAGGGAGGGAGGGGGCCTTCCACAGACGGTTGTTGAGGACTCCGGCCGACCAGACGGCACTCTCACCCACACCGCGTCCAACCGATCAGCGCGGTTGGCCACGTACGGTGCGAAAGAAGTTCAACCACTCAACCTGCAGGTAACCGCAGACCTCACACTTCTCTCTACGATCCATCCCTCCCACAGCTGCACTCTGCAATCCCCTCTCCAATCGTCGTCGTCTCTTTCCCACCCTCCCCACCCCAAGCTTTGCTCAACTCAAGAAACGCGTTGATCTATTGCAACTGTGACGGTGCCAATTGTTGCTGGCTGCTTGACGTTCAAAAAACGTCGCCACGGCAGCCAGGAGGAGGAGGAAGAGACAGCGGCGGTGAGGAAATTAATGCCACGGTGTAAACCGAGTCCCCATATAGAGCTGCCCCTACAGCTACCATCACAGTCACCACCACCGTCACCACCGTGCTACAGATTACTGAGATGTGCTGCCACGGTCACTCGCTCCTCCGAAAGCAGAGTCGCTCACTCCCGTCCAATCGCAATGGGGCAGCCGGCAATTAAAAATAGCCCAGAGCGCGATTACAGCCACCAATCTCAAAACCGTTGACCGCGCACAGTAACGCCACCGCCCGCTTGGATTGTTTGAGTCTATGAGTGTCTACATGGACGTCTCAGGGTCTCCATGCACGTCTTTGAGCGAGTTCACATCTCAAACTGTGGACCAAACAGTACTGCCACTTCCCACTTGGATTGTTTGAGTCGTGGTGGATCTCTATGCACGTCTAAGGGTCTCTATGCATGTCTACGAGGAGTTGACGTCTCAAACCGTACACCACAAAGTCAACGCCACCGCCTGCTCCCATCACGTCGCTGGCACCATTTCAGACGCCCACCACAAGGTTACTCCTGAAACCGGTCCACTGTCTCCCCTCGCCAACTTTGGTACGAACACAGAAACCGACTCCCCGCCGTACATAGATTACACAAAGTGTCAGGAAACATTATTGAGAGAGAAGGAAGGAAGGAGAGATTAATAATTATTCAACTTAATAGCTTGTTTAAATTAGGACCACGCCTCGTTGACGCATCGCCCGAGGAACGTGGGAGAACTCGAGATCGCTTCTCAAGGCGGGCGCGAGGAAGCAGCAATGCACAAAGGCCCCAAAAGCTGCCGTCGGGAAAACGTTCACGGAGAAGAAACTGCGGGGCTGGTGCCAGGGGCGCGGTCACGGGGAGATCCAGAGGCTGACTCACTCGGGGGCCCTGCGAGACCCAGAAGGGAGTGGACACACCCTGCCCTACCTCTCCCCTCTCCGCTCACTCTACTCCCCTCCACACACCCTCCTGTCACCTCAATCCACTCCACTAAATGCGCACCCTTCTCAACTTAAAAATAAACGAGCATGTGATGAGCAACTTGGCAGAAAGCACAGTTTTGTATCAAGTAAGCACATGCTTGCCATTCGAAAGAATTATCCTCGCCACAGGAATGTGGAATTTCCACCGGTGGCTCAGGGCAGGCCGATGGAGAGGACCCCCCCATACCCCCTCCACCCCACCGCCGTTGTCCTAAGAGCCACGCTCTGGGTCCGATCCGCGTGCTGATATTGGCGAACGCCTCTATTTTTCGTCCAATATCTGGCACAACCGTGCCCCTGTCTCCGCCATCGCGAGGAGCTCGGCCAATCGGCAGGGGGGCGAATCCCAGCTGCCCCAGCCGGCCCACCAGCACGTGTTGGCCCTGTGACTCCAGAAACTACACGCGCAAGCCCGCTGACCCGTATGAAAGTTATAAGAGCAACCCTGACATTTGTATTCTTATATTGTTATCACGGTTGCTGAGCACAGGCCTCAAAGGTCAGCAACAAACAGCACTAATTAACGGTGTAGTCGATCAGAGTGTGTGCCTGTGGGTTTGTGCATCTGCGAGTGTGCGTACATGGCTATGTACGTTTCTGGCGACAGCACCGGCTCTCGTGCGCCATCGACCTTAATAGGTGCTCGCTGACAGCAGCTCGTCCCCTACTGCGGTCACGACGGCCGAACAAGGGATCTTTGTCTCAGTGCATGTGTGTGTGTCGTGGGCAGGCGGTGTGCCTGTGGGTAGTGCTCGGGAGGGGTGGAATGTCAACCCCCACACCTCCCCCACACCCCCCATGTGTGACACCTCAAATGCACCCCCACCCTACACCCCCCCCGCCCTACACCACCCCGCCCCCCCGCCCCACACCCCCGCCCCCTACCCAAATGGACGAATTGGTGCGAGTCTGGAAGATGTCGTTCTCGTTTTTTTGACTTGGCGCTCTCAAACCTCTGCATGGAAAAAGGGGAAATCAATTGTTTTTCAAACGTTAGAAAAACAATATTCCAAGCCTTCCTTTGCTGCATACCTACCCACCCACTCACCAATCCACCCACCTACCCACTTTTCTAGCCACCCCTCCGCCTACCCCATTAACTTTCCTACCCACATATCAACTAACCTGCCCGTCCACGTCCCTGCCTACCTACCCAGCTACGCTCACACACTCGGCGTAATCGCTCCCCGTCTCTGTTGCCACATGAACCCGGGCCACGGAGTCCCGTTTGGCTCTTTCATTCATTTGGCTCATTTCAACATTTTTACTTTAACTTTCTTCTTCTTTAAATCAAAATCCTCGGCACGTTGAAGCTGTGGTTGAGGCACAGCCACACCCGAACATTCCTTCCTCCTGCACTCCCGCGCACCCATAGCCCCCCGATCGCCCCCCCACCTCCCACTCCTCTCTCCGGCCCTCAGCTCCCCTCCCGGCCGCCCCTGGGTGTGGTCCCAGATGAGAGCCATCTGGGCGTGGAAGTCATTTCTCCATCGCCATGATAATGATGATGATCGGGGTGATGATGATCGTGTGATGATCGTGGTGATGATCATGATGGTGACCGTGGTGATGATGATCATAATGATGATCACGATGATATGGGAGGTTATGAGCGTAAAGATGATCTTTAGCTATCCAGAACAGCCGTACCGCGTGTAAGATGCACGCGTTATTTTCAGGAGGGCCCTGCCATATTGAGATGTTTGACCAATGTGTGTGTGTGTTTTTTTTTGGGGAGTGTTTTGTAAAGGAGGAAAGTGGAGAACACGGGCGTCATCTGACGATGATGATGACGATGCAAGTCAGACTTTTGGTTGTAATGAAGATTGAGTTATCACAGCGAATAACTTGCACAATCCAACAAACCAATAAACCATCAACGACTTCTGGTGTTTACAAACAATCATCTTCAAAAATATTTTTACTATAATAGTACTTCTACGATTCTCATGTAAATGTATGGTCTGTGTAAGTCTATGGTCTATATGTAGCCTCTATGGGTCTCTATGTAAGTTTATGAGTCTCTATGTACGTCTATGGGTCTCTATGTAAGTGTATAGGTCTCTGTTCGTCTATGGGTCTCTATGTAAGTGTATGGGTCTCTATGTAAGTGTATGGGTCTCTATGTAAGTGTATGGGTCTCTATGTAAGTGTATGGGTCTCTATGTAAGTGTATGGGTCTCTATGTAAGTGTATGGGTCTCTATGTAAGTGTATGGGTCTCTATGTAAGTGTATGGGTCTCTATGTAAGTGTATGGGTCTCTATGTACGTCTATGGGTCTCTATGTAAGTTTATGGGTCTCTGTTCGTCTATGGGTCTCTATGTAAGTGTATGGGTCTCTATGTAAGTGTATGGGTCTCTATGTAAGTTTATGGGTCTCTATGTAAGTTTATGGGTCTCTATGTAAGTCTATGGGTCTCTATGCAAGTCTATGGGTCTCTATGTAAGTTTATGGGTCTCTATGTAAGTTTATGGGTCTCTATGTAAGTTTATGGGTCTCTATGTAAGTCTATGGGTCTCTATGCAAGTCTATGGGTCTCTATGTATTTCTACATAAGAATATAGTCGCGATGTCAGTCTATGGGTCCCTTTGTAGGTATACAAGACTATGGGTCACCAGGCTTTTTAAGTACTATGAAGGTCACTGCGTCGTACCTCATTCAATTTTGGCCTCCCTTGCAAGAAGGGGGGGGGTCTCGCGGTTTCAATGGACATAAATAAAGGCCCCCTCTATGCCACTAATCACACATCCCCACTCACACAGCCTTCCCCTGCAGCGAGGTTATCCATGCTTCAATGGCATCTCACGCCCCTGACCAACGTGCCGATTGCCTCAAACGATGAATGGGACTCTACGTGCGCATGTATCAAGATGGAATTCTAACCGCGGCAGCAGTATTCTGCAAATTAAATAGATATCGGCAATTAAAACCAACGAGCGTAGTTACCGGGTGGTGGGGAGGGGGGGAAAGAGGGTTCTTGTAAATTGATCATAAACATATACAGATGCCCCGTATAGCCTGCACAGATTGTTGAGGCAAGTGCTGTGGGCGAGCATGTATTATTGATACCGACAGGGCACCACGCCCGACCACATTTGTCTCTCCACTGTCGGGTGGTGATTACACGTCACACCGGGTACAGCACTCATTTAAGGCTAAGTCGATCTAGGGGAGGCCCAAGACTGGCTCTGTTATCACTCACCACTCGTGGTATATAGATGATGCACACGATTAAGCCATCACATTCGATACGTATTTTTTGCATTCACCGAAACCCGTAAAATACAAAACAACTCCAAGCAAATCGACTCAACGTTGGCGGGCACGGCTCGCAATCATAAGGTTCGGAGTTAAAATCCTGGTTGGGGGTTGACACTCAACGCCATCAGAGGTCAACAGTGGCTGACCTATGGAGAGAAATGTTGGGGATTCAAATGTGGAATGTTCCACCACTGGCTTCTGTGGGCTGTCAACAGAAGGTTGAGCGCCAATATAAAACTATATTTTACTTTACCAGGTAAGGGCCACGGAGCTATATACAGCTCTTTTTCACACGTGACCTGGCCACAAACGATAGATCGCCGAAATGGCTTATCGTGTGCAGGGAAAATCCGGAGGACCCGGAATAAAATCCACGCGACCACGGGGAGAGAGAGAGACACGCCAACTCAAAATATACAGCAGCAGGCGTCAGAGTCGGGATAGACCCCCACGACCTCCTGCATAAGAGGCGAGGTAGTTAACATCTCGCCACTGTGACGCCCCGATGTGGCGGCTCTTGTGAGCAGAAAATCACTTTCACGATTCAAGTTTATTTGTTTAACCAGGCGAGAGAAGGGAAGAGATCAGGAATACAAAAGTCTCATCTGCAAGTTACCTAACTCACCAAGAAAACGAAAGGAATCAAATAATCATCGCAACATCTTAAAACAACCACGGTCCGTATCACATGAAAATATTGGCAACAGAATTCGCTGCTGTGCAGATCGGTTGGAGGCAAATCACCTCCGGATTAAACGAGACACAAATTTAAAAATGCTAAACTCCACAAACATTACACAGTAAAGGGATATATGGTGACAGTAGCAGTCCAGCACTATGTTACTGAATGCTGAACTTCTTTCGCACCGTACGCAGTCAACCGCGCTAATCGTATATGTTGGGGAGGGGGTGGGGGGGAGAACGCACACGTACACCCGGGTGTACAAGATCGGTGACGATCTCGCAGCGGAACAGGGCCATTACCAACGGTTGAAAATCTTTAAATGCGAGGGAGAATTCAAATCGATCGTAAACAGTGGGGGCAATAAATGGTTGAAACGGATGCCCGGGGGGAACCTGGGCGCAGCGCAGCGAGTGGGGGGGGCACACGAACCGCCCCATCTTTATCCCAAGTGGAAAGTCCAGTTCACTGTATGGATGGCACTTGTTTGTGGACACCGCACATGTTGTGCGGAGTGTAGCTGTTAGCGCTACGCCGCGCTACGAACCCGGCCACCCGAGTTCGATTCACGATCACACGGGCCAACACCAGTAGCGATTATCTGAACCGGTCCTGGGGCCTCCCCCTAGGTCGACTCAGCCTCAAATGAGTACCTGGCGCGGTGTGTAAATGTCACCCGTGGAGAGACAAAGGCGGTCGGGCGTAGTGCTGGCCCTAACTAGGGCTGAACGATTTGGGGAAAATATCTAATTGCGATTTTTTTTGGACAGATATTGCAATTTGATTTGGGATAAAAAAAAATGAAGGTCAAGCTTCAGTGCAATATTCACTGTGTAATAGATTTAAAACATGTGATGGAGCATTACCACATGATACCATCGAAATATGAACTGCTCTATATATTCTAGTGCAAGATTGAAAACTTAAAATATATGAATTGCTTCCAATTATGTATTTATGAAAATGCTTTAATTGAAAAAGAACAATCAAACATAGTACAATTGTTAAGTTAAATAAAGTTATTAAAAAAAATTCCTATAAGAAAGTAATAGGACTGTTCAAATCGAAAAATAATCGCAGCCTTTACGATTTGCTAATCGCATTGTTTCAAATTGCGATGTCGATTTCAAATCTATTAATCGTTCAGCCCGAGCCCCAACACCACCCCTTTGCGTCAAATAAATGTTCGGGAATAGCACCGGCCCCAACAGTCTCCACGGGTATGACTTTGTGCATCTCTCAGCTAATAATGACGCGGGTTCTCGCGTGGGGGGGGGGGGTGACCGTATGCACACGCACCGACACGTGCGCATTTGTGCGTTAGTCTCTCCGTGTGCATCCGCGTACGACGACTGAATGATGCTCGCACGCGCACACACGCGCGCGCGCATCCGTGTCTCGCCGTGTGTGTGCGTACAGGCGCGTGCATCCGCGCGTGCGCATGAGTGTTCGCGTGTACACGTGCGCACGAGTGCAAGGGTCCATCGGTATCTGTGCCCCGTGTGTATACGTACACACGCACGACTGTGTGTGTCCGTGTACACGCGTGTGTGTGTATATGTGTGTATATGTGTGTACGTGTGTGTGTGTGTACGCGTCCTCCGCCTCGCACCTTGTCGATGTAGATCGCCAGGCGGTCGTTCAGGTTGCTGAGTTCCTCCTTCTCCTGGGCCCTGGTGATGCGCGCGGGGCTGAGCGGAGACGAAGATCTCACCTCTGTCCTCACCTGCCTCACCTCCCTCACCTCGCGGCCTCGGCGTGGGCTCCCCATTGCTCTGTCTCACTGCGTCTCTGCGTCGCCCTGTCTCGACGTCTCTCTCGCCGTCTGTGTCGTATCACTGGCTCTGTGGACCAGAATGTATCTCTGCCTGTCCCGACGAGTCTGTAGCTCGCTCTCTCTCTCTCTGCGTCTCTCTCTCTCGCTCTCTCGCCAGTCTCCTCCTACCCCGCTCCGAACAGCTCACAACCACTGGGATGGGCTCTCGATTTCAGTCGAGGCTGGGTGGTGCCAAGATGGGTGGGGTTAAGAGAGAGCGCGTGGTGGTGATGATGCTGGTGTGGGGAGCAGTCGCGTAGCGCGCTGCGCTACAGAACCCGGCGACCCGAGTTCGATTCCCGCTCACGGCCAACGCCAGTGACGATGATCTGAAACGGTCCTGGTTCTCCCCTAGGTCGACTCAGCCAAGACATCGCCACTGCGGCGACAGAGGCGGCCGGGCGCGGTGCCGTTGCCGGTATGCATATGTGTTCGCTTTTAGCACTTGCCCCAATTATCTGTTAGTAAGGAGGCTATAGGGGGGATCTTTATCTTTGGTGCTGATGAGTGGGGCCCGGCCGGGGCAGCGGCGATTGCTGCGCGGCTGTCGGCGGCCTGGGGCAAGAGACGGAATTTGGTCCGGGAGTTGCCGTCCGGTGCGGTCCGGTTGGTGCTCGGCAATAATGACGCTCCCCCCCCCGTTCATTCTGGCAGCAGCCATTGACAACATCTGTATGCGATCTCTCCTTCTTTCGTATAATAATAATAATGTAAATGTATAAAGCAGCCCTTAAGCGATCGTTCACAGGGTGCTGTGCATGGAAAATACGGAAATAGTTAAACATCAACTAAGGACACGTAGAAGGGAAATAATAAAATCATAAAAATAAAACATAATAAAATAATAATTTTATTATGTTTTATTTAATATTATTTTATTATTTCCCTTCTACGTGACTTTACCGAAAGAACCAAGAAGATCAACTAAGGAGAGAAGAAGTGAGAAAGACGTTTGGGAATTAAGTTTCATTTTCAGTTTAATTTATTTGGTCTAGCCCTGTGAGCCATTCGGCTCTTGAATCTGGTGCAACCGCAACAAACAAAAAACAAAAACATGAAACAAAAACATGAACAAGAAAACATCTTAAAGTGACTATGTGACTGAGTGCAAACTGAAAATCCAAGAAAAGACAGCAAAATATTCCAGAAAAAGCACCGTACACCAACGCTGTGTGCAAAAATCCCAGTGGGATGCAAGTCAAACAACAACAACCACAAGACAACTTAGATGAAGGCCATCAGTCTAACTCTGTACTACAACAAACAAACATGGCCAAACCAAAAAACTTTTCGAAATCACCAAAATGAAGCCATAAAAGCAATGAAACAGTGATCATAGAAACTGACCGAATTTTCACAATAAACGACATAAACAACATGTACCACCAAACCCTGCAGCCATAGCTGGCTGCATGAGTCACTCCACTACAGCAGGGGCATCAGTCGGAGTATCAAAATGTTTCAATGCACCTTTAAGATCAGCACACTAAATCAAAACACATATCATACTTTGCAGCGGTCACCCGGATGAAAACATTTTATTTTATTTTAGGCCACTGAATAGCAGTGACAGCTAGGGGTGTACAACTCCTCGAGAGCAGTTTTGAGTGAAGATCTCATAAGTAGGCATAAGGAGAGAGAACGCCGTTTTAAACAGAGACGTTTCTCGTCGGGATTTGAAGAGTTGCAAGTGAATCGGAAGTCATCACCTCGAAGGGCAACGAGTGAGGCCGAGAGACCGTGGTGACAGCGAGCAACGTGCAATCTGGGACTCGTCATGATCGTGATGGAATATTCGTGGCTGAAGGAGGTCACGAACGTAGAGAGAGCAAGTCCACGCGGGGCCTCGAATACCAGCAAGAGAATCTTAAAATCAATGCGGGGCACGGACAGGGAGCCAGTGAAGGGACAGCACACAGACTTGTGATGTGATCCTTAAAGGGTGTTTCAGATAGCACCCTGGCCGCCGCATTTTGAACACTGTTACATTGCTTATGGCTTTATTTTGGTGATTTCGAAAAGATTTTGGTTTGGCCATGTTTGTTTGTTGTAGTACGGAGTTAGAATGATGGCTTTAATCTAAGTTGTATTGTGGTTGTTGTTGGGATTTTTGCACACAGCGTTGGTGTACGGTGCTTTTTTTCTGGAAGACTTTGCAGTTTTTTCCTGGATTTTTCTGTTTGCGCATAGTCACTTTAAGATGTTTTTTTGTTTATGTTTTTGTTTTTTGTTTGTTTTTTTGTTTGTTGCGGTTGCACCAGATTCAAGAGCCGAATGGCTCACAGGACTATATCAAATAAATGAAACTGATAAAAATAAAATAAAACATACTGCAGCCTGTTGAGGGCCTTGCTCGTGTGGTTCTATGGCTGCTGATGTCGATGTGACGTCTCCTTCGTGTTTGTGGATCGGTGCATTGCGGCGTCACACGCTGCACTGCGGTCTGTTCTGGATGGCCACAGTCGCACACTGCTACTGGAGGGCGTTTTTACTGGTTGGAACCTCCTGGTTACACCAGCCCACAGGGGATTATTGTGTCCGTCCGTCGTGCAGGTAGGGGCTGGGTGGGGAGGGGCTGGGTGGGGAGGGTGGGGAGGGGCTGGGTGGGGAGGGTGGGGAAGGGCTGGGTGGGGAGGGGCTGGGTGGGGAGGGTGGGGAGGGGCTGGTCACCCCGTGGTCCCCTTATAAAACTCAACGTTTAACCTACTCACGCCGGCTTGTGCCCGCCCTCACAGTCGGGCATATTTGCGGAATACACCACGCCGCCGTTGACCCTGGCCATTGACCGAGCAACCCAACGTTCCTACCAGCTCCCTCCGCAGGAATGTGTTTTATATTTTCCATCTGTGCAGCATCACAAGGTGGTGTCCGCATCTACTACTGCCATGTTTTGTGAAATGGATGCGGTTTAGGGTGGACCACGAGCTTCGTGGAAGATCCCATCTTCTGTGTTGGGTCATCCCTTTAGTCTGGCTCCGATGATGGAGACGACGAAGTCCGAACACGACTCCGAGCGCTGCCAATTCGTCACGGCCTCGTCCACGCGCACCGCGCGGTGTTCGTCGTGAACGCAGCAGCGAGTGCCACTGTTGACAATCCTGCGACGATGTGTTGACTTACGTCGACGCAACCTTTTTTCGAGAATCGTAACAACAACAACAAAACGGACGGACGAGGATTTTGTATTTTTTGCGTGCGTCATTGTATCGCCACGGAATCATCGTGATCTCGGTGTTCCACCAGGCGGAGTGTGTGCGTCTCATCCGCACGCCGTGCATTCAACAACCACACTGGCAGGTCACAACAACAACAACAACCACACTGGCAGGTCACAACAACAAACAACAACCACACTGGCAGGTCACAACAACAACGCTGCTACCGCTTTCCTTGGGCGGAGTTTACGGGGGGGGTGGAGGGCTCGCACGCGGACGCTGTCAGCTGTGACACTCAAGTGTCACGTGTCACTCAAGCCACGTGTCACTCAAGCCACGTGACACTCGAGTGTCACGTGCGTCTCGGAGGTGCCACTGCACCCTGGCGTGCAAGGAGAAGCCAGGAGCAGCGAGTGGACTAATCTCCGTCTGTTTCCGTCTGTACGGGGGATAGAGCGTTACCCCCTCGCGCGCGTGGGCTTTCTCCAGGTTGCTCCGGGTTTCCTCCCACGTGTGTGTGTATAATGATCATATTAAACACCACGCATCATGAATAATATTAAACAAAACTCATCTTGAATTGGCTGGAAACTTAAAAAATATATAAAAACGTAGCAGGGCCCCCTGAAAAGCAGTCCTATGACTCGGTCCCGCGAAGATAATTGTTTATTTACTTATTAGTCTTCGTCAATTCACAAAAAGAATCGTTAAACTAATCTGTAGCAACTAATCTGTAACAACTAATCTGTAGCAACTTCGTGTCTCGTGTTGTTTGTTGTTGCTCGACACTTGGCGATTTTGGGCCTTCTGGGCCCTGTACTCAGCAACTGTCTTCATACGAAGAAAAGCCTAATATATAACCAATATTTAACCAATATATCAACTAATACATAAATAAAACATATGATAAACAAAAAATATAATATAATTTCCAATATATTAATATAATATACAAAAAATAATATACAAAAATAAAACTAATATACAATATACCAAAAAACTAATATATAGGCAAAAGAATGTGCTATAGTCTATGGTGAAGTGTGGACTCAGTGATGATTGTGTGGATCATCGCGGCGATAATAATGATGATCACGATGATGATCACGATGATGATCACGATCATCTCGACGACGACGACGATGATGATGATCACGATGATTACGATGGGTCTCGTGAAGACCTGGTGATGATGATGATGTGTTACCAATGGCTTAACGTCTCACTGAATATTTTTGGCTCACTTGTAGATCACGTGCTGTGCCAGGCTAGGTGCACTTTGAGGCCACGAAAAGTGTCGATTGATTGCTGGCATCGTCAGCTCACGGGGGCCGACTCAGACGCTACGGATAATTATCTGAGACGACTGACAGATGCACCGCATTGTTGTCGCTGTGTTTTATCCGCCCGGCGCTCTGCTCGCTGTGATGTGCGTCACTCATCCGTCACCCCACGCACACTCATTCGCACGTAAAGCCAGAATCCTTTACGCACACACCCAGAAACATTGACAGCCAGAGGCAGTTCCTGAAACCATAACCAAGCATTTTAATCCCGATGTCTGTAAATAAATCACCCGCAATGCACCAGATTTCGTCAGATCGCGGGAGTTGAGCAGGTTTGAGCCAGGACAATGCTCGGGTGGGCGAGCGCCATGCATAACAGGTGTTATAGGCTGCCACGGGCGTACGTGAGGGTAGTGCACGTATCCGATGTTGTGCTGTACCTACACGGCTTGACTAACGTGTCTGCAGCACGGCGCGTGGGCAAAGTTGCGTGCTAGAGAAGACGAGATCTCAGTTGCAACTAAACTGACACCTTTTTGCAAGGAGTCATGTTTGCATAGACCGCAATACCTGCAGTCATAATACAAACAATAAGAACATAACTCTGATAATGTGCACTGTCCCTGAAGTTGATTGGTCCACACCCGAGACAGCTTTCCAGCTTTCCTACCCGAGACAGCTTTCCTGTCTCGGGTGTGGACCAATCAACTTCAGGGACAGTGCACATTATCAGAGTTATGTTCTTTTGTTTGTATTATGACTGCAGGTAT